GGGGCTCCTGGCCTTACTACTAGGAACAAGGACGCTACTAGGAACAAAAGTTTCCACATCCGGGTTCGTCTTGAAGGTCTGGAAGTGTGCTTGCCGACTCTTACAGAGTGAAAAACGAAAGCAGCACTTCCCTCTGAAACGAGGTGAACCAAACACCTAAAACCACCTTGTTGCTTCCAGGCCTCTTTTCTGTTCGTGCCAGTTGATCATATCTACTACTAGAAACAAGAATGTACTTTTTCTCAACTTGTGGTGTCTTCATTCAAGTATTTGGAGCTTTTCTTTTTCTTCATTTCTTTCCTTCCTTTTGAAAGACTGCATGTATTCCCTGTCAGCGTATTTCCCTCTCTTCCGTGGCCTTGACTCCTAGCTCCTCCATGCCCTGACAAAAGGGAGTGCCCGAGGCTTTTTGAGGCATGGCATAGCGTCCCTTCATTGAGAAGCCTCAAGAAATCTGCAACATACCATTGAATCATACGACAAGTCTGTAGGAGCAAGGACGGTACGAACGGGGCTCCTGGCCTTACTACCAGGAACAAGGACGCTACTAGGAACAAAGGGCATCGCTACGAACGGAGCAAGGAGGCTACGAACGGGGCTCCGATGTCCGAGCAGCTGCAATGGCTCGGAAATTCATTGACATACCTGGCAGCCGCTGGCTAAACATGCCGCCACCCCTTTGACGGCGTCTTTAGGCCCCTTGTCACAATGGTCTTTGGGGTCGTGTTTTGCATGGGCCAAACATGACTTCTCAGAAAATCGCGAACAGAACGCAGCAAGACTGGAGACATCAAACGCACAGTATGTGAGCAAAGCATTGCAATTCGAAGTGGGTTGCAAGAAGCCACCAAAACAGCGTTGTGTGTCCAACTTCCCAATTCCAACTTCCCAAGGGTTTGGGATGTATGATATGCGGGGTTAATGAAAACTAGTAGCAGTAGCAGTAGCAGCAGCCGTAATGGCAATGGCCTCCACCCCAGTAGCGATGGCCTCAAACCTAAACAGAACAAATACACTTGTTATGTCTTAGAAATGCCCCATGGCTGATTTTACTTCGGAGAACTAGTCCAAAGTCAAACACCGAACATGGCAACACTCGTCGCCTTGACAAAGCGCTCTCCTCCTTCAAGTCCTTCTTGTTCATACAGCTTGACTGCAGAAATCGTGCAACCCACTACGTTATATTCCTTTCTTTCTTTGGGAATCGTTTCACCTGTAGTAACAAGAAGCTCTTTAGTATGTCTTTGAAGCTACTAGGAGCAAGGTCGCTACTAGTAGGTCTTTGAAGCTACTAGTAACAAGAAGCTACTAGGGGCTCCTGGCCATACTACTAGGAGCAAGGACGCTACTAGGGGCTCCTGGCATCGCTACGAACGGAGCATTCTTTCTACTCGTAAAAAGTAGATTCCTTTGCTAGTAATTACAATTCTAATTAAATTCTTATTGTTACTACTAGTAAGACACTTGTTACTAGAAGCGAGGCACTTGTTTCTAATGCACTTTGCTTGGGTTCGCCCATGTGGCCTCGCCAGCAAAACTGCAATGGTTGAAGGGATGGAAGTCTTTGGTCGCAATGATCAAGGACCCAGCAGCCTCCAAAATCAACAAGCAGCGATTACAAAATCAACAAGTCACGTCAGGTTCCACTATGCAGCGAATAGAGTGAAAGCTTTTCAGGTCAAGTGATGCCCCTCCGGCTTTGGATTTCTACCTAGAGACTACAGTCTGAATGAATCTACAATTTCACCCATTCCAAGGTTTTCGCTATTAGGTTGGAGGACATTGCTGTTAGGTTGGAGGACATTGCCTTTAGGTTGGAGGACATTGCTGTTAGG